AGTTCACTGCCAGCAGCCAGAGAGGCAGGAGCTCCCCAAGCAAAGAAGCAAGAAACAGCCTGACTGCAGGTACAGCTTCAGCTGAGTAAAGGGTGGCAGCTCTAAGATGTCCGAGCAACGTTGTTATAGCCAGGCGGCTTATAGTTATGTTATAGCCTAGGAGCTTGTGTTTTGCTTTGTTGTTGTTATCACTGGTGGTTTGGGTGAGACTATTAGGGGTTGGAGGAGGCCTCATAGGGACCCACAGTGGTGTGGGGACCCCAGCGCCAGCGGGCGCAACATACGGGGTGCATAGACCCCAGCCCCAGAGCGGGGCATTCGAGAAGCCCCAGTGTGGGCGTGGCGAGCCCTAGAGAGGGGCACTTTTGAGAAGCCCTAGTGTAGGCATGGCGAGCCCCAGAGAGGGGGCACTATTGAGAAGCCCAAGTTGGGCACAGTGAGCCCCAGGGAGGGGGCAGAATCATTAGGAAGCCCAAGTTGGGCACACTGAGCCCCAGATAGGGGGCAGTACTATTAGGAAACCCAAGTGTGAGCACGGAGAAGGAAGGCCCAGGGAGAAGAGGAAGGGGCCGAAATAGGGATAGAATTGAGACAACAGTGATTCCATCGGCGAGGTGTGGACTGCGGTGTAGGGGAGGAAACAGAGCCGCAGATAGTGCCCCCTAGCAGAGGGGCAGGACAAGGGCAGCCTCCTGCTGATTAACACTAATTAATTAGTGTTAATTAATTAATAATTTATTAATACTTTAATTAATAATTTATTAATACTTTAATTAATAATTTATTAATACTTTAATTAATTAATTAAGAGCAAGGCATGGCAGGCGAGTAGGCGGGCGGTTGCCCCAGAGACAGGTGTGTGGGCCACATTAAGGGCGGCCCAGAGTGGCTACCTGTCACACTTATCACAGTTCAATATATCTTTGGAGAAGTATTACCCTGACAATGAAGTTACTGGAAAAGGAGGATGTCCGTCACTGCTCACTGCAAAGGAAAACAAGAGCAATGCTTCAGATGTTTCATATTCAAAATATATTGTCAAGGAAGTAAATCACTCTCACAGGTAGAAAGCAGATTCCACAATCTGGATGTGACAGTTTAAACAGGAAAAGCCATATTTTATTTTTAAGTAATTTAAAAATTAGTCAGAAACAAATTACACAGGTCAAGAGGAGGGAAGGAACAAGTTGTCCTAACATCATATGGAAACCTTTTATTTTTTTCCTGCAACAATGTTTTTGGTCAGAGGGATGGAGTAGGTTATTGAGAAACTCTAGAGACTGAGATTCAAGCATTTATACCAAAATAAACCTTTACATCTTTTATCACCATAAGCAGTCAGTTAGCCACTGGCCTCCACAAACAGGCTGCCTCCCCAAGGAGCTCTTCAGCCACTCCTCCCAAGCAAAGAATAGTCTTTGCAACAAACAAACAAACCAACCAAACCCTTCTGCCCTATCCCAGACACAAGGAGGAGAGCGTTTTTTGCTCTGGCATAGCAGCCTCGCTCCTCCTGGCAGCACACTATTCCACTCATTGATTCTGTCCTCTTCTTCTCTTGTGGGAGAGCTTTTAAAGCTCCCATCAGGGGACTCTCTTTTTATCCCAACTCCCTGCAGCTCGGCTTTCTCAACAGGGCAGTCTTAAAGGGATAGATTGCTCTGTTACACACACACACGGTGCAATTATTATCAAACAGGAACAGGATAATAATGGTAAATAAAAATATTATTGTTAAATTCAGGTGCCTGGCCTCCAATGTCTTGTTTTCAGCAGAAATAAAACTTTAGCACTGCATTTTAAACATCTGTAGCTCTGCTGTCTGTTCAAGCCTTCCTAACAGGACAGCTCTTGTTCACAAAGCTTATACAACTCTACTCTGCCTTCAGCATTGCAAGTGTTTCACTAAAACATCTCATTCTTGATATGATCATGCTCCTTTTCATCATGTCAGAGGGTTAACCTGGAAGAACCAAAAATATAAACATAATTCCCAATTTTCAGGAACTTTGCCTTTCAGTTTCTCTGTATATGCATTTCTACGTTATCTATTCAGGTGTTTTGGTCCTTCGAAACACCAGATTGTAAACTGAACTGTAACTGCACAAGTTATCAGAAATCTGCTGCTGCTTTAACAAAAAAATAAATAACTACATAAATTAAAAGCTTTTAAAGCATTCACATTCATTACCTGCATTTTATGTTGCCTGTCTGTGCATAATGGCCTGCAGAAACTGCATTGAGAGATCTGAATCAGAAATCAGGCCACTGCCCAGAAGAGCAAAAAACTGAGTGGCCACTGATCTTGACAGACAGTGAGAGCATGTGAGCAAGTGAATTTTTTTTGAATATTCCTTTTTAAAAAAAAATAAAGATATAAAATTCTTGGTATTTTCAGCTGACCTAGATTATTCATGTTTGAGTTTAGATTTTCCTTTTTTTTTTTTTTTTTTGGGGGGGGGGGAGAACAAGGGAAGAACAAAGGGTTTATGTTTAATAAGAATTATAAAAAAAATTATGCCTTAAATTTCAGTGGTCAGGACACAGAAAATCTATTCTAAAGAGTAATTTCCAGCTTCTGATCCACTATAGTTAATATTTGTAAAATCTGGCTCTTGGAATGGTGGTGCTCTCATGTTTGACGCTAAGAACATCAGCTATATAACAGTGATCACTTTGCAGAAGTATCCAGTCGATCTGCGTGTTTGGATAGAAATTAAGAGACAAAAAATATTTCTGGTGCTGCAAGACAGTTTTGTCCGACTTTACCCAGCTTGGGTTTCTCTTCCTTTCTCTCGGTTTTTGCTGTACTCAGAGTTGATTAAAGCATGTGAAGACACACCTGATCTGATTTAATAAAGCTATCTCAGGCACCAATAACAGTGCAGTTCTGGTGACATGGGGCTTTAGCAGCCAAGCAAACAGCCAGGGAACTGGGTAGGCCTATGCAGCCCATGCTGAAGTAAGTTTAGCAATTATCAGTGAGGGAAAACAGACCAAGTAGGGATCAAGATTAAATCAAGTCAGTGGCTCATAGGATATGCAGTATTTTGTTTGTCTGGAGATGCATTTTACTAGTACACACAAAAGACTGTAGATTAAGTTCACCTGTAACTACTTGATTTACCATTCTTTAATTGTACTTCCAGAAAGAAAAAAAAAACACCTTACTGAAGTTCTGTTACATGTTTGATAACCAGCAGCATAATTCCAGAGCTAGGTAAGGCTTCTATTTGTGAAATCTTTTTTGGAAATGGTTGTTTTTATCAAAAGACTTCCTATCAGATTACTGAACATAAAACACTGCAATTGCCAAAGAAAGAATTGTCATACTGGATCAGGCCCCAAATCTACCTTTAGTATATTGTCTCCAAACAGATTCCAGTCTGCACTGCACAATGTCTGTGGTCATGTCAATGATAAAGTAGGACAGCTATAACTACTACTTCCGTTAAGTAGAACCTGAAGTCCTACTGTACTGGGAACATTTAAAAAATGCCACACAGTCTCTACCTCAGCATTACAATCTCGTTCAGGGCTGTCTAACTTCTAAACAACCACGGGCCACACACACAGTGCAGGCTGCACCAGTGGAAGCAACATGCCACACAAGCCAGATCAGTGTAGGCTCCCCAGGCTGCATACTGCATGCCATGTGGGTAACTGTGTCACCAGCTCCCATGCCGCCTCATTCCAGTTCTGTTCTCTTTCAGTCCCAATCTTTAATCCTTGGGTTACTCATTCCAGTCACCATCTCTTTGCCCAACTCTAGTGTCACTGCCTCTGATTTTCCTGCCTTAATCTCTTCCTTGCTACCTAAACCTTGTAGTCTCTTTGCCCAGGCAGTCTATGGCTGCACGACACTGCATGGTTCCAATGGCCTCATAGGCTGTACCACCCTGCCACGTCCCTGGGGCAGAGGCAGGAAACAGAAGCCAGAGTAAGGAAGGGGAGCCCAGAATCCCTGAACAATGGGAAGAGCAGCAATGCAGGGTAAGGGGGAAATCCAGAGGGTCACAAATTAACCCCTCATGGGCCATGAGCTGGAGGGCCTTGATCTAGTATAAGATGCAGTTATTGGAACAAAAGCTGAAGAAAGAGAAAAGTACCGGATTTATTTGCATACCACATGCACCCTACCCCAAAAACTAGTTATCCAAAATACGGTGCATGGCTTAAGCAGGGAAGCTGATTTTCTGCCTGTAATAAAGCATGTAAATGCTATAAGATGACTGCTGCTCCTTTACATCCTCTTGCTTCCACCCCCCCCCCAGCAGTGGTATGGAGGGAGGGGCAGAGTCCAGTCTTCAGCAGCAGCTACAGTTTTAATATTTTCACAGCTGAACTGGAGCAGGGACAGAACCTAATCTTCAGTTCATTCACCCTCCCTTTCCTGCTCAGGCAAAAGCAGCCAATTCAGCTGTGTAAAGCATAGCTGTTGCCTGAGCAGGAAAGGGAGGGTGAGTGAGCTGAAGATTAAGTTGTGCTTGTTCCATGAGGCCGTAAATTTTTCTTTTCCTTCTCTCCTCCTTCCCAAAAACAAGGTGCATGCTTGCATCTTGTGGTATGCAAGAAAATACAGTAACAGGGGCAAGAAGGCATAGATACATAGTGTGGATATGTGAAGGCTGGAAGCTTTATCTATTGGGGAAAAAATAGAGACATTAGTGATGTCAATATTTTCTGCTAAAATGATAAGTTTTCAGAACAGTAGCGCCAATTCTCTTACTGATACCTGTTTCTCCTGCTGTTCACAAAGTACTTAGTGTTGATGTAATTTCTGAAGCAAAGGAGGTCTGTGTGTGCCATATATCAGTGGAAATAAACTTTGTGTAGTTCTCAAATCTATGTAAATTTTAGGTGCAGCCCTTGGGCTACCAATATTTTGCTGGTGTGGTCCATTGAGCTGCAAACTTTGGAATTCATATCAAGGTCTGGTCAGCTACATCCTACAGCTAGCTACCTAAGGTGGCTGTCCAGTATGCTTCAGTACTCCTCACCTCTTCCTCTTTAAGCTTCTGTCTCCGTTTTTCTTCAACCGCTGCCCTTTTCTGCTCTTCTCTTTGCCTTTGTTCTTCAAGTTTTCTCCATCTTTCTTCTATTTGCTTTTCATACTGAAGTTTTGCTCTTCTCTCCTTCTCCAGGATCTGCTGCTCCCTGGCAGCTTAGATAAAGAAAAAGGATCACTTAAGCTGATGTTATTTTTCCCCACAAAGCCTTTTTTCAATAATATAATAACAAAGAAAACAAATAACAAAAATACAATTAAGGCAAATATACTGAACACTTTGGCGCAGTAAAATCAATATCACAGTACATTACAATGAAGCATATAGGTAAAGAAGAAAATAAGCAATAATTAAAGCAATAATTAACTAATATGACAGGGTGGAAGCTCACTGGAATTAAGCACAGGTTAGACAAATGTGTGGAATGGCTTAGGCAGGGATGGTCCTGCCTTGAGCAGGGGACTCGGTCTCTTGAAGACTCTCTCAGCCCTATATTTCTGTTAAATGTAAAAACCATTCAGTTACAAATTAGCTCCCTCTATTTCATAAAATGAGACTAATCAGTGACCTACATTTGTATAGTTTACAAACTCCTCTGTACTTATAAGACCCAATTCTTCCCTGGGGTGCAGACACATGGCTACTTTTGACCTTAAAGGGAGGCAGAATTTGGCTCTTAAAACTTTGAAGAAGATGCTGTAAAAGAACCTCTGAAGAATGTCGAGCTAGCTCTCAAAGATTTACATAAAAGTTCTGAAAAGTGTGCCGTTCTGATAATGCTTCTGTATATTTTAGTTACCTTCTCTTCTGGCTATTTGTATAAACAACACTTATTTTGTTACTGGGTTTGCCCCCTTGCTTGCTCCACATGGAGAGTCAATCTTTTATGAGTAGGCTTCATAGAATTCAATTTTTATTTTAAAATTTTAATTTAACTTTGACAGCTAAACTGATGTTTATTTTTAGGCAGACAAGGTTCTTTGCGTAAATGTGATATCTTTTATTAGACCAACTCCCTATGCCTGAAGAAGGGTATTTGTGCCTGAAAGCTTGCAAATAACATTTTTTCCAACTATTTAGTTGGTCTAATAAAAGATATCACATTTACCCAAAGAACCTTGTCTGCCTGTGTCCTTAGACCAACATGGCTACAACCACCCCCCCTGACACATGAATGTTTATTTTAAGCATTTATTTTATTTTTATAAATTAAAATGTTGGGATTGTGGGAAATTAGGGGCGTGGAGGCGCGTGCACGCACACACACACACACACACACACACACACACACACACACACACACACACTCCGCTTCCTCCACCAGTTCAGCACACAGCAGTTGTGGGGGAAGTTGCTGTGGTGCCAGGCTGTTAACCTGCTGCCCGGCCCCCATGCACAGTGATGCTGAGCTCAGTGCCCATTTTCCTTTGTCCGTGACAGTTCGTTCCCTTGCCTTCCCCTACCCACCTCCTCCCCCAGTAAGGAAACCTTTGACTGCTGCAGCAGCATCTGCCCTCTGCATCCAGCGACTCGATCTGCCTGCCGGCTCCTGCCCAAGTTTACACAGCTGGTTGGCACCCTGCAGGCATCAAGCTGGGGAGGTGGGGACAGACACAGTGCCCAATCCCCACTTCCCCCACCACCTCCAGCCACTGCTCAGTAGGAGCCCACCCTATTCTTATGTCCCCTTTTTATAAATTTTGAGTATTAACGATGGAAATATTTTTTCATTGGTCTGTGAGTGAGGCAAAAATCGACATTTATCAATAAATATAAAATCCTCCCGAGCCTATTTATGAGACATTAATTTATTGCTATGGAAACAATGATTGCAGCATTACAGACAGGACTGTTACTTCAGGCTTGCATGAGGGAATAAGTAGCAATGAAAACAACAAATTATTTAAAGAACTCCAGTTCTCATGCAAACTTCCACCATGAAATGGAAGAAAGCAATAATTCAGGATAGATAAAATTGCACATGCATACACATGCACACCTCTCCACGTATATGACACACCAAAATACTAAATTGAAGACATATTATTCACACTTCCCTAGTCAAGCACATGAAAGTCAGGAAAAGCCAGAATTAAAGTTGCCAGTCATGGCTCCTTATTCCAGTCCCACTTTCATTCAGTCTCAATCTTTATGCCTCAGGCTTCTCATTCCAGTCACCATCTCCTTGCCAAACTCTAGTATCACTACCTCCGATTTTCCTACCCTAATCACTCCCTTGGTACCTAAAAAGAAAGGCCTACAAAGGGTGGAGGATGGGAGTCACCTCCAAGGAGGATTATTCTGCACTGGTCCGGTCCTGTAGGGAGCAGACCAGGAAAGCCAAGGCTGCAACTGAACTCCAGCTAGCTTTGAGCATCAAGGACAATAAGAAGTCCTTTTTCAGATATGTGGGGAGCCGGAGGAAAAGCAGGGGCAACATTGGACCCCTGCTGACCCAGATGGGGCAACTGACAACTGACGCACAGGAAAAAGCCAACCTATTAAATAGGTACTTTGCGTCAGTCTTTCATCAGTCCCATGGGA